ACAGATGCACCCGCACTAAGAGAAAAATGTCGAATTCAAAGTGCATTTGTGCGCCCCAAGCCTCAGGCGCGAAGAGGCCGGAGTGGTTCAAATCGGTTCACCCTCCCATAAAAAGTTATCACTTCAAAAAGTGCTGTGCATTTTTTTTTATTATTACAAATATTTTTCAACTTCCTGGGTCTTTTGCGAATAAAAAATGTCCCTAGCATTTTTTGACTACGACAAGCCCTTATGATGCTAAAGTAAAATTTGTGCTAGGTGTTCTATTGGCGTATATTAAAATAAAAAAAAATTAATTGGTCATCTTCTGGCCCGCGCGTTCTTGTGGTTTGTTGCGCATGCATAAGTCAGTGACCAAAGTGGATAACAATATTTAGCGTCTTCCCTAGCTATGAATCCCTGGAAATTGTCGGTCAATTATCGCTATGCGTTTTGAAGAAAATTTTTTTACAAAAAAAAAATCATTTTACATTTTTTAAATTAAAGTTCATCACCCTGTAAATCTGTAACCAAGCATCTTTGGACTATCGTTCACAAAGCAAGCTCGGGTTGAACAAATAATGCGCCTTCCTCATGAAACACTTCGCATATTTATTGGTGAATATCATTGGAAAAAGCGATAGGGTAAACTATATAGTTATTGGCACTTTAAGCAACATCAGTTTCTATTTCTATGATCTAAAATTTAAAATAATAATTTATAGCAACTTCCATAGCACTCTATATATTGCACAAAAGATTTAGGAATAAAACTATCTAAACAAAATCTTTTTTTTTAATACATATTTTTCAAATAAATCTTGAACTTGAAATACTAAATTATCGCAGTTATTGGCACTTCGGGTAGTATTATTGGCTCTTGATCATACAGTTATTGGCACATAAAGTGACAAAGGTTGACTACGTATGACAAAATTATTTATTTAAATTTGTGTTACAGACCTTAAAAACGAATGTTTTCACATTTGGTGGCATATTGAAATGCTTCCTTGAACAAGTTAAATGATATCATTCATCTGATCAAAACGGAGTTGTTTAACATGAGAAGGTTTTTTATCTACATTCTCCGTATTTGTTGGAGGAAATGTTTCAAGAAAAGAAGTCTTTTCTTTCTGAATATTATGAGTGAAGTCTTTTAAAATTTGTTGTTTCCTTATTGATTCTTCTGGTTCGTTTTCTAGAGGCGAAAGTTGAGTTACAGCAACATTTTCAATTATTTGTTGTGCCCTTGCCTCATCCAATTTTGTTTCGTTTTGTAATTGTCTGGTGACATATGATACTTTTTCGTCAGAAATAATTTTTATTTTTTTGCTATTTTTCGGTTCCCCTATCTTAGTTGTCCTCGCTTTTTTAGCTTTAGCTTGTTCTGACATCTTCCTTTTCCTTTCTTATTCCTTTTCCTTTTGACGCTTTTTTTCAGTTTGTATGTTTCGCCATTGGTCCGATGTAAGTACAAATTGCAACTTTTTCGAATTTTTACTTCCTTTTCGCTGTGGTGAAATTAGCCAGGTAAGATATTGTTTTATCAAAGGAGTGTTATTTTTTTGTACGAAACTAGCACTCGCTTCTTGTTGAACACCTTCATTTGTTGCGGGAGCAAATATAATTGGAAGATCTTTAATATTAAAAGTCTGAACATTGTCTTCTGCAGCATTAGCCTCGTTTATGTTAATATTTAAATTTTTAGTTTCAAGAATTTCTATGTTGTTGTTTAAGTGATGATGTTTTAGATGGTCACTTGCTCCACATTTTGGCTTGTTTCATTAGGCATGTCTACGATGTTGTTAATTTCTTGATTTTCAAAAAAATTATATAATTTGTACAAATTTCAGAATCGTTTTTCTCGTATGTGACATGATTTGCTTTAAACCGAACTAGCTTTTGTTGGCCCACCACTTGCTTAAACTTTTCATAGTTAAGAGTTTTTTCGGTTAATACTTTACTACTTTCACATGTGTTACGTAAAACATTGTTTTTCCCTAAGCACTTTG